GGTGTCAAGCATGTGCCAAATTCTAGATCAAAAGAGCGATAACCAATGGACAGATGTGTAGATGGATGGAGATATCCAGTTGACCCTGCAGTTTTTATTGAAATGATTCTCCAATGCTCAACTATGCCACCATTGAATGAATGAGTTCCCCACATATGTATGATTTGGGTTCTGAATCTCCAGTCGGTTTTATCATCTTTTGTGGCTCCAGGGACTAACACTATATTGTCTTTATTGCTGTGGTTGTGTCCTAAACCTTGCTGTCTGTTAGTGCAAGTCCTCCAGATGTTGTTCATCAAAATCGTCTTGGCCTTGCTTGGTTCTTTGCATTTCCATACATATTTCATATGTATCCATTTATCCAGTAATACAACTTACTAGGATTTTGATTAGGATAGCATTTACACTATGGATCTATTTGTTGATACCTCTATGTACTTATCAAATTCATAAACCCAGTATTTTTCTTCCTTTTTGATCATTAATTTCTCTTTAGTTTCATTGTAGAGATCTTTAAAATTTTTTGTTTAGATATTCCTGGATATTTTTTTTTGTTATATATGTTATGCATTTAGTTGAATATTTTATAAATATATATTTCTGGTATACATAAAAATGGAGTTTTGTGTATTAAAAAATTCCTGTGACCTTTCTAATTTAGTAATTTAATATTCTCCTGTAAACTTTTTTTTAGGTATATTCTGCTTGATTTTCTAACAAAAATACTGTTGCCTTTGAATAATTTTTGTAATTTAAAAAAATGTTTCCAATATCTATCTATATTTATCTATCTATTTATCTATCTATCATCTATCTATCCATTCATCCATCCATCCATCCATCCATCCATCCATCCATCCATCCACCATATATGGATTTTTGGTCCGTCATCAACATCATCTTTAATCATTCATTTCAGTATACATGGCATTGTCTCATTCCATTGTCTAAGAGGTTCAATACAATGCTTTAAAACATAGCAGTGATAATAAACTTCTTGCTTTTTAACTACTTCAGAAGGAAAAGTTCTAACTCTTCACAATTAAATATGATTGCTGTCAAAGTTTAAAAATGCGCTTTATCAAATTTGGAAAACTGCCTTTTTCCCTAATTTTCTGAGCTTTTATTGAAAATAGAAATGGAATATTTTCCAATGTGTTTTATATATCTAATGAGAATTTTTGCTTTATATTTTTCTTTTTTAAGCCATTAGTGCCACAAATTATGTTGGTTCATTTTCTAAAGTTAAAACATCATTGAATTTTAGTCATCAAAAATTCAAAATGCCTTCTCCTATGAAAATAAACATTTAAAAATAGTTCCACAAGTATGTTTGAGACAGGCCTGTATACATTATGTTCTTATGTAGAATAATGCCCACAATATTTTAGAATCAGCTTCAATTTATAGTGATGGGCAAGTATTGTTAGGGAATGGGATGACCAGGAGATTGGAGTCACAGTTCCCATAAAACTGTTCAGAGTGATTCTTACAGTAAACAAAAATCATGACATAAAAAATAGTGATTATGTAAGCCTAGAAAGTCTACTGTACTTGAAAAGAGCATCCCTGTGCTATTCATTTTTTTTATTATGTTATTTTAATCACCATACATTACATCATTAGTTTTTGATGTAGTGTTCCATGATTCATTGTTTGCATATAACACCCAGTGCTCCATTCAATACATGCCCTCTTTAATACCCATCACCAGGCTAACCCATCCCCCACCCCCTCCCCTCTAGAACCCTCAGTTTGTTTCTCAGAGTCCATAGTCTCTCATGGTTCGACTCCCCCTCGGATTTCTGCCCCTTCATTTTCCCCTTCCCCATGCTAATTGTTTTGATTCAAATGTGAATAGTGCCGCTCTGAGTTTACTGACAAATAAAGGAAGGGTTACATATGTTTGTATAACAATGAGTAGCAATTAAACATTTATTTGTTTCAAACGTGAAGTGTCCCTTTACCTATATTTAACTGGTAATAGGAAAAGGGGGGAAGGGGACTGTGAACAGTTACTGATTTTTTTAATTGAAGGACACATTATTGGTCTTACAGTGATTTTTTGTTTCAATTTTGTGTATAACATATAGCTAATTCCTAACTGCGAGTGAATACACATAGATTCTTTTACAAATGACAAGGAAAACATAAATGGAAAACATAAAAAAAAAATCATATCAAAGGTTTTTGTATTTCTCAGCTACTCTGATGTTTATTTTTTATTACAGTTTATGTTACTTGACTATTTCTTGAAGATTTCTGTAGTATTTAAATAACTATTAGAAAAATATATAGGCTTATGTCTTTTGATTTTTTTTAGAAAAACCTTCTAGAAAATATCTAAGAGGGTTTAAAGTTGCTTAACTTGTATTTAATGAATTGTGATGTCAATAAAAAAAAGCAGGAAACAGCTGAAGTAAATAAAAGAAAGTTATATAATTAGAGTGATATAAGAATTAAACATTGCTAAGTTCTTTCTGAATTTTACAACCAATAATTTATAAATCATAAGAATTAAACTATATGAAATGATTTTTTTGAAATTCTGTTGCACATTTTTATCATCTTAATTTATTGTATATATCTTTGTGGTAACTTAAAATAGAATAGACATGTATATGCGCGGTCTCACACACATACACACACACACACAAATATAAGGAGTAAATCACTAGTAGTTAATGTCCATTATCAAGCACTGGGTGCCATTGGAACATTGTAGAATTATCTCAATTCCATAGATTTGGTACTTTGATTTAAAACAGCTATAAATCTTATAAGAGAGAATAATAAATATTTCCCCAGAAATTTAACTTCCTAATAAATTCACATTAGAAAGTTATTGTGAGTATTTATAATATTGTTTTTATCCACTTAATTTCTAAGAGTTTGTTTGAATTTTCCACACACTCAGAGAAATTATTTTATGTGATTCATTAGTATATTATATTAGGTTTTCTGTTTAGTAGAGAGCAAGGGAGTGATACATTAGAACATTGAAGAGGTATGTTCTGCTTAGAAGTAAATGAAGCATCAATTTAAAATGTGCTTGAAAAAAAATGGGGAAAAAAAACCCTAACTTTGTAACTTGTTTTTCTATAAATGAAGTACGGGGTGATCTGTGAGTCAGTGCATTTTCATTATCTTCCTGGTACTCATTTGTATAGTCTAAAGTCTTAATAGTAAGAATTTCTTTTGGTCAACAACTAACCATAAAATGATTTTGACTATTGCTCCTGAAGCTAGACTAAACAGGTAGTCTAGTTCTGGAATCTAGGGATGGGACACTCCTATAGAAAGAAATTAAATGGACACAGAGAGAGGAAATGTAGAAAAAGTAAATGGATGTGTGCACATAGGGTAGTTAAAAGAACAACTCTTGCCCAATACAAACTGAATTGATGGTCCCTAAGAATCCTTTTCCTAGAATAACTGTTGACAATTACTACAGAAATGCCTTTTATTATTTGCTGATTATTTGTTGATTTATTTATTATTTTATTGAGATATATTCGACATATACATTGTGTAAATTTAAGGTCTACCATATGTTGATTTGATACATTTATATATTGCAATATATAGTTACCACCTTGAAATAGCATCTTCATCACATCATATAGTTATCTTCTGTGTGTGTGGAGGGGGAGACCATTAAGATCAAGTCTCTTAGCAACTTTGAAATATACAATATAATATTGTTGACTGTAATTACCATGCTGTGCATTAGCTCTTCAGAACTTACTCATTTTCTAATTGCAGTTTTCTAGGCTTTGATCAACATTTACTCAATTCTCCCACCCTAAACCCCTGTTAAGCAGCAGTTTACCCTCTGTTTCTATGAGCTCAGCTTTTCTAGATTTCACATATAAGTGATATCTTTGTCTTTCTCTGTTTGCCTTATCTGGCTTAGCATACTGCCCTTAAGGTCCATCCATGTTGTCACAACACAAATGTGTTGTAAAACACTTGAAACTAAGGTGTTTACATTTTGTGTGCTTGTATAGTATACAACAAGTGTTAAGTAACTAACAAAATACTAAGACAAAAGAGAAAATACTACATACATTTGAGGGCGACGGTAAAAGTTTCAACAATTTTATTGCAGAAGAATAGAAGGGCTTCCTCTTAGAGTGTTTCAGTTTATAAAATTAGGTTGTAATGAAAATAGTAATGATGCTAGTTGTGAAGAAAATCACATAAGCTATTTGATTCTGTGTTGTTCATGTTGCCATCTTATTCACACAGAACATAATGTTTCAATAAATGCAGATTTCCAACAAGACCCATAATGCTATTCTATGTTTACATAAAGATGATTAAAAAGCTCAATATTTTTAAGAAATATGTTTGATTTAAGAATGGAGTTTAAATGTACAAATACTTACATTGTGTTTTATTGATTGTTACTGAATTTTAATGAGAACACTATCAATATCTGGTAGATTTTGCTTTGTACTTTAAAAAAAAGAATTCTTCAAAGTAAGTATTTTATAGAAGGGAATTAAACAGGCAAGATAATTGTGCACTTCCTCAACTTGATACTAACTCAAGCACATTTCAATAATTTTTATTAATATTTTATCAACATTCTGTGACTTTTTTGAGTTACAGGTCACAATATGATTTTTAAAGTAAACTGCTTCCAATTCCCTTTTCATTCTTCCACTAATAATACACCTTTGAAAGGTCCTGAATGGATCTTGTAATGGATCGTTTAATAGTTATAATTCATTATGGCACAGATCTACATGTTTAAAATTCTACATTGCATATAGGAATTAGGGCTATGTTGCATGAGACTATATTCTCTTTTTTATACAGAATGGTATTACTTTTATTATTCTGAATAAGGGAGGTTCATCTTTCATTGTATATCATCATCTTGCTTGCTAAAGAAACAATGCTGTATAGAACTGAATGCATTGCTCAGTAATACCACATTGTTCAATAATACCACAGTCTTAAGTTCTTGTTACTATTTATATTTTCTTCAGGAACATTAGTCATCCAAGTGACAGCAAATGATGCTGATGATCCTTCAAGTGGCAATAATGCTCGTCTCCTGTACAGTTTACTACAAGGCCAACCATATTTCTCTATTGAGCCAACAACAGGTATTTCTGAATGAAATAAAGTGCAATTCAACAGGATTCTTTTTTTTTATTTTTTATTGTTATGTTAATTCAACAGGATTCTAAGTAGGCAAATGTCAGAGCAAAAATCTTCTGCTTATAAACATGTTGTACAGTAGACCTGATGTTTCAATAAATAAATTGATTGTACTTTTAAACATTTAATTCTTTTTAGTCTTTTAGCTGATTTTTCTAACTTTCAGAAATCGAATTTTCCAAATCTATACCACAAATCATTTGTGTGTAAGGTATAAAACATATATAAAGATTACAACAAATCAATAGGAAAAAGAAAACCCAATTTAAAAATATGCTGAAAGACATTTAAAACAATTGACCAAAATTTGATATACAAAAAGCCTGCAAACATATTAAAAATGATTAACCTCAGTAGTCATCATGGAAATGCAAACTAAAACCACATGAGATACTTCATACCCAGTTCTCTCCAGAGTCAAACATTGGGAGATACTTCCAGTGTCTGTTTAATACATTCACTGTTTTCTATAGTGATTTATTTATTTTTTTAAAGATTTTATTTATTTATCTGAGAGAGAGAGAGAATCAGAGATAGAAAGCACGAGAGGGAAGAGGGTCAGAGGGAGAAGCAGACTCCCCGCTGAGCAGGGAGCCCGACGTGGGACTCGATCCCGGGACTCCAGGATCATGACCTGAGCCGAAGGCAGTCGCTTAACCAACTGAGCCACCCAGGCGCCCTCTATAGTGATTTATATAAAAGATTATACTTGTAAAATACTTTAGTCCAAATTAAAATGCCGTCACAATATGGTCCAATTTATCCTTTTTTGTTTTGAGAGGTCTCACAATTTTTTAATGTACACTTTTTCCCAGACATATTTGAGGACTGGCCATTCTCTTTCTTTGTGTTAATGTTCCCAAAATCTTTAGGCCAGCATCCCTTGTCCTATGCACCACCTGAAATTTTTCCTGGTTTTCTTCTTATCAGTTATAATTACTTTTTCACTAAGTAATTTTATAGAAAGTTGATATTTATTACATTTATTATGGTCCATCATGAGTTTGAAAATCTGAGTATATATTTATCTCTATTCGTAGATTATGAATAACTGTCGGTCAAAAACAAACCTTCTTCACAAATAATGACTTAAAATAGACTTTAACATCACAGGTACACAATATTTTTTTACATAAATTTGTTGTTGTAATTTATACATTTATTCATAATTAACTTCTTTCAAATTTAAGGGAAAAGTTAATTGTAACACACTAATATTATTTTAGAGAAGACAGCAGAAAATGATTTGAGGTAAAAATAAGATATCCCTGTTTTCTACCTGCAGATTTTATTAACGTAGTTATTTTATTAAGGGTCTACTAGTGTTCTTAGTATTTGGTGACTATTCTAAACTCCAGGCAGAGTTGGTGTTTATTATTATTATTATTTTTTCTTCAGGGCAGTGTCTAGCACATTATAGTGGTTTAAAATGTGTCAAAAGAATGATTACATGATTGAATTCTTAAGAAATTAACTAGGATACCGTGGTTAATAATGAAATAATAATTGAAGTTTTATTACATTTTTAAAGGAGTCATAAGAATATCTTCTAAAATGGATAGAGAACTGCAAGATGAGTATTGGGTAATTATTCAAGCCAAAGATATGATTGGTCTGCCTGGGGCACTGTCTGGAACAACAAGTGTATTAATTAAACTTTCTGATGTGAACGACAATAAACCTATATTTAAGGAACGTAAGTAGAAAACATCTTGAATTTTCATTATGACGTAATTATACGTATGTCAAATATAAGCAGGTGTTAGCGTTTACATCTAAAGCACTGCAACAGCATTAGAATTATATAAAATAATTTTTAATTATTCTGTGTGATAATTTTTATTAGTGTGAAAAGTCAAATACAAGTGAAAGAGTAATGTGTTTTCTTTTAATTGCTTCTATAATAATTTCCACAAACTTCATGTCTTAAATTATTATCTTAATGAAATCCGTTACAGGTGTCACCAGATTAAGTTCAAGGTGTCTGCAGGGCTGTGTTCCCTTCCCAAGGATCCAGGGGAGAATCCATTTCTTTGGATTTGATTGTTGGCAAAATTCAGTTCTTTGTGTTTGTAGGATTAAGGTCTCTGTTTCCTTGATGGCTGTCAGCTGAAGGACACTATTAGCTCCTTAAGGTGTCTCTCTGATTCTTGGATATAACTCAAGTACCTGAAACATAGCCAAAGGGGTCGGATCCTACACACACTGTCATCTCTCTGACCCACACTTTTGCCTCTTCACTTTTAAGGACTGATGTGATTAGACCAGGCCCACTTGGATGAACCAAGACAATCTCCGCCTCTCAAGATCAGCTAATTAGCAATATGAATTCCACCTGCAACCTTAATTCCCTTTTGCCACTTTGTGTAATATGTTCATAGGTTCTGGGGAATTAGAACACATATTTTGGGGATTCATTTTTCTACTTACCACAGTAATGGTTTGAAATGATAATATTTTATTTTTTAATTTTAATTTTATTTTTATTCAATATATTAAAACCAAAAACAGAAATAAACACAATTCACCTATTTCTGTATTCACCTATGATATATATATATATGAAAAAAATATATATATAATATTTCACATATAAGAGAGACCATATAGTCTTTGTCTTTTTTGACTTATTTCACTTAGCCTAATGCTCTTGAGGTCCATCCATGTTCTTGCAAATGACAAGATTTCATTCTTTTTTATGGCCAAGTAATGTGTGTATGTGTGTGTGTGTGTGTGTGTGTGTGTGTGTGTGTATTATAATTTCTTTATCCATTCATCCACTGATGGACAGTTAGGTTGTTTCCGTATTTTGGCTATTGTGAATAATAATGCAATGAACATGGGAGTGCAGATATCTTTTTTAATAGGTGTTTTCATTTTCTTCGGATGGATACCCAGAAGTGCAATTGCTGGACCATAAGGTAGTTTTACATTTAATTTTTCAAAAAAACACCATACTGCTCTCCGTAGTGGCTGCCCCGATTTACATTCCCACTTACAGTACACAAGGGTTCCCTTTCCTACACATTCTCACCAACACTTGTTATTTCTGGTATTTGAATAATAGCCATTCCAACAGGTGTGAGGTAATATTTCATTGTGGTTTTGATTCACATTTCCCTGATGATTAATGATATAGAGCATTGTCTCATGTACCTGTTAGCCATCTGTATGCCTTCTTTGGAAAAATGTCTATTCAGATCTTCTGCCCATTATTATTATTATTATTATTTGATATTGAGTTCTATGAGTTCCTATATATTTTGGTTATTAGTCCCTTATCAGATATATGATTAACAAATATTTCCTCCCATTCAGTAAGTTGCCTTTTCATCCTTTTGATAGTTTCCTTTGCTGTGAAGAAGCTTTTTAGTTTGATATGGTCCACTCATTTTTTCTTTTGTTGCTTTTGTTTTTGGTGTCAGATTAAAAAAAACATCACCAAGACCTAGGTCAAGGAGCTAACTGCCTGTGTTTTCTTCTAAGAGTTTTATGGTTTCAGGTCTTAGTTCAAGTCTTTAATCCATTTTTATTTTTTATTTTTTTTTATTTTTTTTAAAGATTATTTATTTATTTATTTGAGAGAGAGAGAATGAGAGAGAGCACGAGAGGGAAGAGGGTCAGAGGGAGAAGCAGACTCCCCGCTGAGCAGGGAGCCCGATGTGGGACTCGATCCCGGGACTCCAGGATCATGACCCGAGCCGAAGGCAGTCGCTTAACCAACTGAGCCACCCAGGCGCCCCCCTAATCCATTTTTAGTTAATTTTTGTGTATGGTTAAGACAATAGCTCTGTTGCATTCTTTTGCATTTGGTTGTCCAATTTTTTCAGCACCTTTTATTAAAGAAACTGACATTTTGGGGCACCTGGGCGGCTCAGTCGTTAAGCCTCTGGCTTTAGCTCAGGTCATGATCCGAGGGTCCTGGGATCAAACCCCACATTGGGCTCCTTGCTCAGCGGGAAGCCTGCTTCTCCCTCTTCCACTCCCCCTGCTTATGTTCCCTCTCTCAATGTGTGTCTCTCTGTCAGATAAATAAATAAGATCTTTATAAAAAGAAGAAACTGACGTTTTCCTATTGCATATTTTTGGCTCCTTTATCATAAATTAACTGACCATATATGTGTGGGTATCTTTTACTTTTGTAGCATGAATAGGCCCCAACTGCTCTGATAATTTGAGTTATAAATACAAGTTAAATCACTTGGTGTGCTTCAGAAGGAATTTCTTGTGAAATTCTTAAGAGAAATTATTTTTTTTCTTAGGATTCACCTCCCCCCTCAGAGGATTCTGCCTTAGCTACAGAAATACATTTAGAAGCAATTTTAGAAATCGTGAGCAATTATCATGATAGGAGGAATATATAAGTATGTATCAAAGAGAAAAGTAGATCTCTCTCTCTTACACACACACACACACACACACACACACACACCTCTAAATGATGCAGACGGGATTCAGTTCAGCTAATTTGTGGCAGGCCCAGAGTTATCAGAGCTTCTGACTTTTCAAGAAATATTGGAAATCTGGATGTTTATTTCTGTGCTATTGTCAAATTTTAAATTTTTCAGGTTAATGTGGCCATTTTTTAAAAAATAAAAATGGTATATATTTAAGGTATACAGCATGATGTTTTGATATCATATACATAGCAGAATCATTACTACAGTCAAACTAATTAACATATCCATCTCCTCACATTGTTACCTTGTGTGGGTGTGTGGGTATGGTGAGAGCACCTGAGATGTTCTCTCAGTAAATTCCCATTATACAATATAGTATTATTAACTATAGTCACCAAGCTTTACACAAAATTTTTAAACATTCATCCTACATCATTGCAGCTTTGTACAATTTGAGCCACATGTCCTCATTTCTTTATGAGTCAATGAAACAGCTCCTCTTTGGATGGAATTTAGGCAACAAGGCAGCAGTTTGTGACCTTCATCTTCATGTTATAAAATGTATTATCTCTACAAAGTGTGTGTCCTAACGACAAGAAGGTGATGTGTAATTAAATCTGAAATACCGAGGACTTCATAAAATTACTGCCATATACTAAACGTAGAAAAATAGCAGGTGAATATATTGAATAAACTATGTTTTATTCAGATGAAGGTGAAATGATAAGTTGAGAACTCATGAAGGCAGTACCCCCAAGGAATGTTTGTTGAGACAAAAATGTCCTTGAAGCTTCTGCTGCCATCCTTATTTCTTTTCATTTTTCTCAACTTCAGCATTGTTTTTTTTTTTTTTTAAAGTGTACCACTGTTTTTTTCTTTTTTTTTTTAAGATTTTATTTATTTATTTGACAGAGAGAGAATGAGAGATGGAGAGCACAAGAGGGAAGAGGGTCAGAGGGAGAAGCAGACTCCCTGCTGAGCAGGGAGCCCAATGCGGGACTCGATCCCGGGACTCCAGGATCATGACCTGAGCCGAAGGCAGTCGCTTAACCAACTGAGCCACCCAGGCGCCCTTCAGCATTGTTTTATATATATACATACATATATATATATATACTTCAGTGTGCATATATAATTATAGAACAATGTGTGCATATAATATATAACTATATGTCTACGAACATTGATAAACAATCTGTAATTATAAATAACAATGTATACATATGTATACATTGATATATATCTGAATAAGTTAGAATATTTAAAATACTTTCTAAAATTCTTATAATTATCCAGACCCCTCATGTAAGATGATAGCATTACTACTTTCAAATTTGAGTGTGGGTGAACATGATTCTAGCACCATAAAGTTTCCTCACTCTGTAAAATAGTTTTCTCTGTTTCCATCCCACACCATAATCATGTGAAAATATGTATATTGACTATTCTTCCAGAACAGAAGCATGCTGACCTCCTTACTCTTGTTCAGACTGCTTCCCCTTATTGGAATCCCATTATCCTCCTCTCGTCTTGTATATTTAATACATATCTCCTCTGATAAGTACAACCTCCCCTCACCTCTCAGTAGAGGGTATCCACGCTGCCTGTTAATGACTATTAACATTCAAAACATGTGGTGGTTGTTTTCATCTTAAAAACAAAATAAAATAAATATACATTATTGACTCCACTTCCATATCTAGCTAACCATGCCTCATTTTCTTTTCTTTTAGAGAAAAGAATTTTTAAAGTGTTGTCAAACTCATCAACCTATTTACTGTCTTTTAAACTCTTTGGAGCCCACTCCAGTTGTTTCAACCACGCTACTTGACCAGACGGATCTAGTCAATTCTATCAATCTATGTGCAACTAAATCTCAGTCCTAATATAGTATGATTCTCAGTCCTAATATAGTGTGATTTTTCAGCAGGATTTGACAGGATTACTCCATTCTCATGTACTTTATTGTCTATCTCACTGGTCACTTTTTAATAGCCTTCCTTGCTTTGTCTTCACCTCTACATACTGTAAACTTTGGTGTATTTCTGCTATCAACCTTAGGACCTCATTTCTCCTCCTTTTGCATTCACTCCTTGATGTCCTCATCTGGCCACAAGACTTTAAATGCCACCTCTATGCTGACAACTCCCAGATATATACCCCCAGTATGAGCCTCTCCAGTGAACCCCACATGTGGATATCCAACTGTCTACTCAATATCTTCATTTATATGTTATATACATTTAAACTTGACATATATTTGAGTTCCTGATCATGCCTGCCTCCTCCTCCAAACCTCTTCTTTTTACAGCTTTTCCCATTTCAAAGACTACCAAATCCAGCCTTCACATTGCTTAGGGCATAATCTCACCCATTCAGTTCAAATTCAGTTCAATTCAAACAATCCAACTTGGATTACACTGGGTCAAATCTAGGCCAATTCTAATTTCTAACTCAGGCTGAATCGATGATCAGTTCTGCACAATTCCTGCTAGTCCCTGGTTTTCAGTATTCTGTGTGTACACACACACACACACACACACACACACACACACACAATCTCTTCTGATAATAGAAACTTACTATGTTTAAAGATTTTGAAGTCAACTTCCCCTCTGTTCTTTCTCTCATCCAAAATTCAGTCCTCTGCAGGTACTGTTGGCTCTACCTTTTAAAAATATCCATAATCTGAACATTTCTCACCAATTTTATTTGCAACCTGGGATCATGCTACCCTCTTAATTTGTCTCCATTATTACCAGAGGCTCCCATCTAGTCTCTCTGCTTTTGTTCTCCTCTGATCAACTTCCAACACAACTTTAGTGATCTTGTTGTAATGCAGGTCAGATCATATCACTTAAATGTCTTACCACATCACTCAGAGAAAAAGTCACAGGCCTTAATATAACCTCCATTGTCCTAAATAATTTGCCATCATCCAGTCCTGTTCCATTACCTCTAGGAGATCATGTACTAGCATTCTACTCCTTGTTCATGGACAAACCAACACCAGGCAATTGACCTACTCTCTGTCACTGGAAAACTTCAGCCGCTGGTTTTGTGGCCTTTTGGCTTGTTCTTCCCACTTCCTGAAATTCTATTTTCTCAAGTATGCATTTTCCCACAATGAAAAAACAAAAACAAACAAACAAAAAACCACTTTGTAGCAGAGTTAAGCTGTTACTTCCTGAAAATAGTAAAAATATTAGCAGCTTTTAAGTAACATTTCTCCCATGTTAAAAAAAGAGAGGACATCTCACAAGGCAATCTGTGCAGTGACTCGCCATATTCTATCAATAATCTCTTTAAGGAAAAATTTTATTTGTGCTTTTTTAAAATTCCACAAAGTTTCACTTTTTCTTTTAAAGATTTAATTTATCTGAGAGAGAGAGAGAGAGACCATGAGCGTGGGGAGGGGCAGAGGCAGAGGGAGAAGCAGTCTCCTCGCTGAGCAGGTAGCCAGACATGGGACTCAAGGTGGGGCTCAATCCCAGGACCCTAAAATCAGGACCTGAGCCGAATTCAAACGCTTAACCAAATGAGCCATCCAGGCCCCCAATTTCATTCTTTAGAATATTGATATATATGATTATTTCCTCCATTTTAACATAAACCACAAATAATTTATGAATAGCTAACTCTTTATCAGTTTTATGCAAGTTACTTCTGAAAAATAAAGGAAACAAAGCTCGATTATTTTTACTTACATCTGTGTATTTCAAATACAACTGCCATTGTTTTCACGTGACCAAAACAATGGGGTCATCTGAGAAGCTCATGGTTTTCCTACTTCATCCATTCACTAACTCCTGTGGATCCACTTTTTTTCCCCCCCTCATTTCTACTATGGCCAATGCACTCAGGCTCAGAATCTAAAAATCAAACTATCACACTTAGAGCGCACTTGTTTGCTTTATTCTCTCCCATCTCTAATCCACACTTACATTTACGAGTAACTTTAGATATCAGAGAATGCTTAAGTGAAATTGAAAACTATTTTTATCAAGTTTATTTGAGGTGGTTAAATGATATAATAAAAAATTCAAAAATATCAACAAAGTATACATATGAATAGAAATTTGGAAATTATATGTACTGGTGCTAAGACTCCCTAAGTTATATTTGAGAGACATTAATAAAAACCTGCTACGTTTCCTTCCCCCACCTTCCCTTGCTCAACTAGGATATAAGGGAAATACAAAATACAGATCACAAAAATAAAGAAGTGATAGATGATAGATAGATAGATAGATGATAGATAGATAGATAGATAGATAGATAGATAGATAGATAGTGATTTAGAAAAAGTAACTGGTAGAAAGTGAGAGTATGGGTTTTCCCATAGTCCACAAAAATAGGGGGCTAAAATTGGAAATTTCTTATGTTTATTATTTGTGTGAAATATCTTGAATTTTGTTTTTAAAGGTTTATACCGCTTGACTGTTTCTGAATCTGCACCTGCTGGGACTTCAATAGGAAAAATCATGGCATATGATAATGACATTGGAGAGAATGCAGAAATGGATTACAGCATTGAAGATGATTCACAAACATTTGACATAATTACCAATAATGAGACACAAGAAGGAATAGTTATATTAAAAAAGGTTGATATATTTTCAATATTTACTTTTCAGAAGAATACAAACAAATCAGAAATACATATAATTATTTTGTGTAGCCAGTTATTGCTTCATTAAGTAATTGAAATGAGAACCTGTGATCTATGATTTAGGGAGCAAAGGAACTTAGAGATGAGACAGAGTTATTACAGAGTCTCAAATTACTTGTAGAACAGTTTTTTATTTTATTATGCTTTTAAAGATTTTTAGAGGATAAACGTTTTGGAAAGATATTAAATAAAAAAAAATAATTCTCAATTCCATAGGATATTTATGCCCAGACAAGTATAATTTTAATCCTAAAAATATATAGTTACTATTCCAAAACATTTTATAACAGACATAAATAACAAAACACTTACAGGGATTTGCTATGCAGCTGCTTACTGATAATATTAGAGGGATCAAACCAAGTACATAAGAAGCGAAATCTGACTAAAAAGCAACTGAGACTTAATAACCCAAATTTTTTTTTCTAAATAGTGCCTTGGGTTACTGAAGCCATTTCTTCTTCTATACACTGTATTTCTTTGTAGAAAGTGGATTTTGAGCACCAGAACCAATATCGTGTTAGAGCAAATGTTAAAAACCGCCATGTTGATGAGAAGCTCATGGAATACCATGTTGAAGCTTCCACCACTTTCATTAGGGTCCAGGTGGAAGATGAAGATGAACCTCCTGTTTTCCTCCTCCCTTATTACCTATTTGAAATCTTTGAAGAAAGCCCACATGGATCATTTGTAGGCATGGTCTCCGCCATAGATCCAGATCAGAGGAAATCTCCTATCAGGTATGTTTGGGAGGCCAGCTTCATATTAATAAATGAGTGAATACAAATTAGCCTGAAAATAAAATATCATAGAAATGTAATAAAGATAAATCTGTATTCCTCTATATGGTACTTATTAAATTTGCAACAATTTAAACCAGTTAAAACAGGGAGCTCACTATTGATAAAGTTGTAGTGAAATAAGCAATTGCAGTTGTAAAAGAAATAGGCAAACACCAACCAAAATTCAATGAAATCCACTCTACTAATTTGGCATAAGTAGTGAGGGAAAAAGAAACGGTTGATTATGCCAAGTCAGAAGCAAAGCTGACCAAAATGTGCTCCATTTAAATACTACTTAATATTCAAAAATTGAGAAAGCTTTCCCAGGATACCACTTAGTAGTAGTAGTAGTAGTAAAAATGAAATAAATTCAGTCGGTTAGAAATAAGTTTCTGTATTGCAATTAAACAATGATTATCATCTATTAATCTAGTCTGTTATTTTCAGGTACTATATTTTCATTTTTTTTCAATATTTGTAGACCTGGTTAGACATAAAAACCTGCTACGTTTCCTTCCACCACCTTCCCTTACTCATCGGTTCTCCACAATTCACAGTTCCGAGAATTTTACAAACTTCCATGTATTTATTAAGATGCTGGCTACTTGGGTGCCTGGCTGGCTCAGTCTTTAAGTGCCTGCCTTTGGCTCAGGTCATGATCCCAGCGTCCTGGGATCGAGCCCCGCATCGGGCTCCCTGCTCAGCGGGAAGCCTGCTTCTCCTTCTCTCACTCCCCCTGCTTGTGTTCCCTCTCTCGCTGTGTCCCTCTCTGTCAAATAAAGAAATAAATATCTTAAAAAAAAAAAAAAGATGTGGGCGCCTGGGTGACTCATTTGGTTAAGCAACTGCCTTCGGCTCAGGTCATGATCCTGGAGTCCTGGGATCCAGTCCGCATCAGGCTCCCTGCTCAGCGGGGAGTCGGCTTCTCCCTCTGACCCTCCCCCATCTCATGTGCGCTCTCTCTCTCTCTCTCATTCTCGCTCTCTCAAATAAATAAATAAATAAAATCTTTAAAAAAAAAAGATGTGGCTACTGCTTTGCACTTTGGAGGGGTTACGATACAAAGAAGCTTCTTTAAATTTTTGAGACAGAGGAATGATCCCACTTTTCCAGTGTAATTCCTAATCATAAAACACTGCCTTCTAATATGTAGATATAGTTCTTATTTAGTAATAGTACTTTTAGCAATTAATGTAAGCATATATGTGGTATTTTATATATATGTGTATATATATATAAAATTATAATTATAACCCAGAAATGAATTATTTAGATTTTTTAAATTGGTATATATATTCAACTATGTATTGTTCTTCTGAGAATACTAAAGAATACATAATTCTAAAAAAATGCTTTAAGGATTAGGATGTTTATTATATTATTATTTATAATAATAAAGTGTTGGAAACAATTTAAATATCTAATCATAGTGTAATTAAGACAATAGATGATAAATGCTTGACAATGATGCTTATGAACATAGCTTAAAACATGGCATGATTTGAAAATAATACAGAATCACTAGAGTTGTATATTTACTACCAGTAAAAATATTACCTATCTTTGAGTCAAATAAATCAACCACACCAAATGTTAACAGGGGTTATGTGTTTTATAGTATCACTATTGATGGTTACTTTATTTTCTACCAAGAATATTTTAGCTAATAATTTTTACCTTTATACTGAAATTAATTACTTAAAATTTTTTGTTAGTACCTAACAAAAGAATACTTTTTTAAATGTCTTTTATGGACATTGTTTCATTTAGAGGTGCCTTTTATATAAGACTGCTCGTCATGTTTCTTAGGATGAAAATAGCCCCTTGAACACATTTCAGTAGGTACGCCCCCTCCATTTTTGTTTGTTTGTTTGTTTGGAAGCCAAAGATCCAAAACATATTTGAAATCAAATGCTAAATGATTTCAATTTGAGTTTTAATGTGATATATCTTCCTTAATACTCACTACATGGCAAGAAATATGGAAACCAAAGGAAATTAAAAGGTATTCTATTTTACTCTCGGGGTATTCTCTGTTTAGGGGAAAGAAATTTGCACATAGTAAACAAATTACATTATACATAATTCAAATAACTCATATTATTTAGTTTTTCCTTGCATGTAAGAATTACCTGGTATTTCTCTGAAGTATGGAGATTCCCAGTATGTTTCAGCAAGTCTTGGGTGAGATAAACTGGCTTAACAAATTGTTCGTGCCGTTGTTGTCATTGTTAAGTGCAGAAAAGCATAAGAAAATATGCCTTGAAATGAATTATAAGTTTTGTGGTAAATGTTTAAGAAAAATGAGGGTGCAGGTATGAAGAAAGAATGCAATAATTAGACCTGAAATTGATCAGTCTTCAGCAAGACAACCGGGGGGTGGGAGAAGAACGGACAAAAATTAACATTACCAAAAATGAAAAAAGTGAACATAACTCTTGATCCCATAGACATTGAACAATAGTATAGTGAAATACTATGAATGACTCGAAGCCCATGAATTCAGACCAATTCCTTGAAAGTCCTTCAAGGAACCTACCAACATTCACATAAAAAGATAAATAATCTGAGTAGTCATGTGTGTGAGAAACAGGAAGAGCTTTGTGGGTATTCGGGAATGTCAGGAGTGTTCTCCTGTGGAAGAGGCTGTCTTTAAACATCTTTCATCTGTATTCTAATGAAAGCGCTTAAAAATCCTTGAAACACCCAGTGGATCTGCAGCCTACTTGGAAAAGTCCAGCTTTTGTATATGGGGGTTGGGTCTTATGTGTCTCAGTTGCTTTGTCTGTAAAGTGGGAATAATACTTTTGTAGAGGCATGTGAGGATTAAGAACAAGAGGCACAGGCATCTGGAGGAGCATGCATGGAAGAACCATTTGTTTATCATTCAGGCAAGAGCTGTTGGCAATGGGAAAACAGTGCACAGTCACATGGTATTCATTCAGCATTTTTGTAGGAATGAAGAGTTCCATAAAAACGAATTCCAAAATGAACCAAACATCAAAACTTCACATTTTAAGCTTTTTAGCTCAAGCTCTTTCTAAAATGTATAGCACACATCTTTCCTAGTTACTGATGACACAAGGTCATGATTTTTAAAAACTTTTATTTGAAAATTATGTCAAACGTTTGATTGGTTTTATTTGGAATGGCTTATTATTGAAACAGGATATTCTAGATGTTTAATACAAAATAGTAACTGTTAAACTACTGTTCCTCCTTGTCAACAAATCTCTTAAGTAGGTAATGTGACCATTTGTGGATGTCAGTAAATTGCTTATAAAGTTTTAAAATGGGGTGGAGTTAAAACCAAATTCCTCTGAAGCTTAAGTCTCTGTAATTTCTATTTTAATTCTCCCCTGAACACCAGTCTACAAATCAGTGTGATATTTTTAGAGACCTGTCAATTCAAGATTAAAATATTCTCATCTCCTGCCACATAATTATGGCAAACCTCATTGATGTCTCATCAAAGTCTTCAGGAATATACATGCAATGAGAAGTCATCATTGAACCCAAGTTATTACTCTTCTTTAATTTTACTATTAATCATTTGCAAGTGGATAAGACATGCTGAGTACTTCAAAGGCTCCTTTCATTGTGGAGTTTGAGATCAGTTTTCAGGCTTTTGCATGAGGGAATTTTATTATCTGGCTTCTTTCCATGCATGCTCTAACAGCATATTCCATCTACTATCATTACTTTTGGGGGATCTATATACACACACACATCTCATTTTTATTAAATATTATCCAAGCATTTTCTTAAACAAAACCAAATATTTCTCATATGTCAGCAATCAGGTAATTATAATACACATTTAGCAAACATCTATATGGTGTAGGAAAGAGACTCAGCAGTTTAGGGTGAGGATATGCTTTGTGTTGCTTCAAAGGTAAAAAAAGATTAAAAAGCAATAATTTTTACCGCTATTTATTTGTACTTCACTTAATTTTGCAAATGACATTTTGCCATTTCTTTTTAGCTAAATCATTCACTTATTAAAATTTTCTTTTGGGATTGAGAATGAATTACATGTGTTTAGATTTAGGGTACATCAATTTAAATCTGAGACCATTTTAGTGTAGTTTTTTTCTTTTTAATCCTCACTGAGTTGAATCTTAAATATATGCATGCACCTTTCTAAAAATTGTTCAGCATTACATTTGCTTATATGGAGCATGCATTTAATTTGTCTAATTGCCTCAAAAAGGTTTTATATATCACAGTTACACAGACAAAATAATAAAATTAAGGGATACTTTTTTTTTTTTTTTTGGTGCAGGTATTCTATGACCAGAAGCAAAGTGTTCAGTATTGATGACAATGGCACAATCATCACAACTAACCCTCTTGATCGAGAGATTAGTGCTTGGTACAACCTAAGTATTATAGCCACAGAAAAATGTAAGTACTCATTTAGGATCACACATTGGTTCAGCACATATTTAAACCATTCGATAATCTCCAATTGTAGGGGCAGAAGCTAGCTTAAAATTTGTTGGAATTGGAGTCAAATTATATATGTGTCAATTCATATATGTGTATTTTATTTTATTATTTTAGATTACTAATGTCTGTTCATTCCTATTATAGTTTATTTATATACTTACCACTAAATACTTTAAGATTTTTTATTATGACAAACCGAATATAAATTTTGAAAGATTTTCTAACTGAGAAATATTTAATATATATTTTCTATGGGTTCTCTTTTAAGTTATGAGTTTAATGAAAAAAGAAAGTCTTATATACATTATCCCCCCAAAAAAATTGACCCTTAAAAAAATACATATAGGTGGAAAGAAGTTATCGTACTTATTTCATAGGAATCTTTCCCTTAGAGAAATTTTTTTAATTTAGAGAAATGTTTAATTAATGTTATACATTCTTTTACTACTATCCAAGGAGTAGTAAACCTAATGAGTGAGAATTAAAATTTTAAATTTAAAGTAATTTAAAATTGACTAGTAATATCATACCATTTAACCATAATCAGTTTAGACTGACTGTATTAGTTCACGAGGGGACTATTCTAGAAATAAAACACAGAATGCCTGTGCCTCGTTCTATTTATGGAACAAAATGTTAGCTATACTCTTGGACATTAGGGGCAGGGTAGCACTTCAACACAGCCTTTTGAAACTTTAGGCATTTAAAAATAATCATATTTCAATGAAGCTATGGGAAAGAATATGAAGGATTCAACAGCATTCACTGGTGCATTACAAACAGTCAGACATTTTCAAATTAAGCATATATTGGAAGCTGTGCTAATAGTCGCATCTTCAGTAATCAGTGGGGACCAGTTATTGTTGTTGTGTGTTTTTATTTTTGTTTTTTATTTTCTGGTTTTTGGTTTTGTTTCCAGAGATAGGCAGATGAGGGGCGCCTGGGTAGCTCAGTCATTAATTGTCTGCCTTTGGCTCAGAGATAGGCAGATGATTCCATTTTCTGGGTGTAAAAAGTAGATAAAATCATCCTAATTTACTACTTGGATAGTGTCTTCAAAATTATCAGTTAATTTGGTATTAAGTCAACCATATTAACTAATTTAAGCTCAAAGGAATAGATATAACACAATATAAAAGATTATCAAGATCATCCCCTTTATTTAACTGATAAGTTTATTATAGTTCAGTAAATAATTAAATTTGTGAATATGAAATGTTCTAGAATGCATCCTTTATAACTGATTTTGCATAAATTTTAATAATCTTGTTTACTTTTCTGACTTTTTTTTAAACCTTTAAACATATATCTTATTGATTACATATTGAGCAGTGGCTGGGGATATGGTGGAGTGGAAAGGATCCCTTGCATATTTTTTTTTGTCATACATTGAATAGCTCTATGGAAACACTGCAAGAGGACTAAGTCTGGGTTTTGAATTTTCCATTTAACTTAACAACAAAGACCTAGGAGCAAATGTCTGCTGCAACAGAAGAAATGTCAAGGCTCTTGGTGTCAGAAATCACAAAGATGCTTATTCTAAAAGCAAGAAGCTTTTATTCGTTGGGTTTTCTGAGAACAAATTATTTATAATATCACTATTTACAAAACTGTTGAGAAAAAGCATTCGAATCAGTTCAAGGGGAGGGTGGGTATCTTTGAAAAATGTGTTTCTCTATAAAATGGTGTTTTAGCTATTACAAGAGCATGTTTTAACAAATGTATATAAACTGTAAGCTTATTTTATATACAATATTTTTTTAAAGATTTTATTTATTTATTTGAGAGAGAGAGAATGAGAGATAGAGAGCACGAGAGGGAAGAGGGTCAGAGGGAGAAGCAGACTCCCTGCTGAGTAGGGAGCCCGATACGGGACTCAATCCTGGGACTCCAGGATCATGACCTGAGCCGAAGGCAGTCGCCTAACCAACTGAGCCACCCAGGCGCCCTACAATAATTTTTTTTTGTATATAAAATAAGCTTTTGGTGGAATTTTTGTAAGAATATATCATTTACTTTTTGTTAAATTAGATTGCAATATGAGTTATTAGAAAGCAGAATCTTGAAAATGTATTATGTATATTCTGAGACAAAAAAACATTTTAATATTTTATGAATGAATAGAAAAAAAGGATGAATGAGTGATTGGTATGAAAAGTTTGTAAGATAAGCCAATTATACCTGAATCCCATTAATTACATAATTACTTTTATCAAAATGTTATCATGAAGATCTCTAAAGAGACATTGTTTGAAGTATTTTTGTGTTGACCCCGCCCTTTTTTAAGACAGTGGAAGTAAATTGTAGAATCACAAAATGAAATAAAAGCAGTCACACAAATCTCTGGGTTGCAAGATAGCTGTCCCAAAAAATTATTAATTCAACATATGTATGCATATTTGCATATATACTACAAAGTATATTATTTAATCATTTTAATTATCTCACTACATACTGTGTTCAGAGGTGATACCCAAAGATTCAGTGACCAGCACAACAGAAATAATCAGATGAGACTTGAGATCTTTCTAAACTATTGCTCCCAGTTGATCTATAGATTTCACCTTATTAAGGAAAACAGTGGCTTCAAATGTTCTCTGTAATGTACTTATATATGTGAGTGGGTGTGGGAGCATATAGTATTCAGGCAATAGAACTGTTTCAATTTGTAGTTTACAATATTACTTATTACATAGGTTTGCACTAAAGACCATAGATATTATAATGGTGTATCTATTGAGGAAAATAAAAATACAATAATGACAATAAAAACTGGATACCGTTTGTGATTCACAGGGGAAAAAAAATTCTAGCTTTGTCACTTCTTTGATTTTTAGATATTTGTTTATAAAATACATATTTTGCAAGGTGTTGTGAGTATTGGTGAGTTTTCAGGAATTATATTTTATTAAATAGATTATTTTATTGCATATAAATATGTGTATGATTATAAAAGTATATATATGCCTATATGTGTAAAATTCTACAGTTAGTAGCATTTTTATAGCTCTTAATACAGATTTGAAGCAAACGTTATTTCTGTTTCAGAGAAGATGAATGTGACACTTATGCAGTTTATTTGCCCAGCTCCTAAATGATGAAGCCAGGGATTGATCACAATTGTATCTGATTCCAAAGCCTGTCTTAATCCTATGCCACACTATGCCACACTGTTACTTACTGAGAATGTGAGAAATGATACTTGCTTTTGGTGTTTTCTGATTTAAATATATGCACAATAATCTTAACCAAGTTTCATTTTTCTATTTTTCTCTTTAAAAGTAAAGTTTAATTACAAAGGTATTTCAATTAGTAACTCAAACGTAATGTTTAAATCAGTTCATGCTGTATGACCTCCTCAGAGCCAAACAACTGATAATCTCTGTAAGTATGTTAGCTAAATTCTGCTCTGATACATGTTCTGACTGTGCTCTGAGGTGTGCTCATCACATTCTGTTGCTATTGCTTTATCCATGTTTATTTGTTGATGAAAGCATGTGTGGCAGGTGACAGTTTAGGAGACGATTACTTTTTTGAATAGATTTTGAAGAACAGTGTCCTATTGTGCAAAAGTATGTTAATAGCATGTTTTTTTTGGGGGGGGGCGACTGGGTGGCTCAGTCGGTTAGGCATCTGACTTGTGATTTTCGCTCAGGTCATGATCTCATAGATCATGGGATTGAGCCCTGACTGGGACTCACATTCAGTGGGGAGGCTGCTTGAAGATTCTCTCCCTCTGTCTCTCCCCTCCCCACACATATGTGCATGCATGCACATGTGCATGCACATGCTCTCTCTCTCTCTCTGTAATAAATAAAAATCTTTAAAAAAAACATTTTTTAAAATAAATTTTCTCTTGAAACATGAAAGCCAGAATATATTTATAGTATAATAATTATTTTATATTTGAAGATAGCAAAATAAAACACATGTAAACATTTGAAAACAATAAATTAGGGTCACCTGGGTGGCATAGTCAGTTGAGCATCTGCCTCCAAGTTTTGGCTCAGGTCAAGATCTCAGGATCCTGGGATCGAGCCCCACAGGCTCCACACTCAGCAGGGAAGTCAGCTTGAGAATTCTCTCCCTCCCCCTGCTCATGCATGCTCTCTCCTTCTCCTTCTGAAATAAATAATAAATCTTAAAAAAAATAAAAATAAAAACAACAAATTAGTGGACTTGAAAACATTTTAATTCTTTTGAGGAAAATCAAGTAAATAAGGTTTCAAAGTGAATTCAAGGGACAAAATAGAATAAAACAAGAGGTTTAATAGATATGTAATCTTAGATATAGAATTTCATAAAATGTGATTAGATCAACATTGAAGTTGGTCACTTGATGCAAAAAGTATCAATTTAGTAAATTTTTAAACTTAAAATTTTGTGGATTATAGAGTATTATAATAAAACAAATAATTTATAGGGATGCCTGTGTGGCTCATTTGGTGAAACATCTGACTCTTGATTTCTGCTCAAGTTATGATCTCAGGGTCCTGGGATCCAGCCCAGCATGGGGCTCCTCATTCAGCAGGGAGTCTGCTGGAGATTCTCTCTCTCTCACTCCCTCTGCCACCTCCCCCCCGGCCCACGCTCACATGTGCACACTCTCACTCTCTCTCAAATAAATAAATAAATCTTTAAAATAATAACAATAATAATAATAATTTATAAATAAAAGATTAAAAATGCAGTCAAGGAAAACAAACTTGTAAATGCCTGTGAAAGGCAAACTGAAAATAAACTGAATATATTTATTTTCACAGAATTTAATACTCAGAAGTTAATCACTGTTTCAGAAATAAGTGATTAGAAATGTTATCAAGTACAGGAATTATACAGTTCATGCTGTTCTGCTCCTGGCATTTTACATCAGTTTTCTTGGAATTAAAAATAATACTTTTAGATAAAAGAGATGATATTCCTGCTATTATTTTTATTATAAAGCTGAAAAGTTACAGTATGGGGAATGAAATTCCAAAATAAAATATAATTAGATAAACATTTTCAGAAAGCCACAAAGTTATTGTATATTTAACTCATCACTGTGAACATTTTTTGAAATTTTTTAATTTTTCTAAGAAAAATTGTTTAGAAGAAACGTTTTTAACACTAAGTAACCAATTTTCATGTACTTTTTCTCTCTCTGGGATTTTTTTTTAAATATTCGTTATATATTTTGGAATCGACAGCTTAACGTACATCCATCACGGTGAATGGCAACATAAATGGCATGCCAGGAGTTCTGTAATTACAATGATCTTTTTTTTTTTTTTTTTTAAGGATTCACTTTTTTTCTTTAATTTTATTTTATTATGTTATGTTAATCACCATACATTATATCATTAGTTTTTGATGTAGTGTTCCATGATTCATTGTTTACATCCAACACCCAGTGCTCCATGCAGAATGTACCCTCTTTAATCACCATGGGATTTTTTCTTTTCCACATCATTAAACTCATTTTAGAACAATTTTGGAGAAAATATTTGTATGTGCCAATTTCTTATTAATGTGGTATCCAAACAATTAGAAACAGGCTCCTCCCACCCCAGAAAACAACTCCATAATAGTGGAATAGAGAGGAAACAGTTTTATAATTGAAAAGCATTCAAACAGAATTTGATGTGCATTACAGGAATCTGTTGAGATTTCCAAGTCAGAAAGAAATTTCACCCTATTATAAAATCAAGCATCATGTTCTCAGGATAACCAAGTGCTAGCCTTCAAGTAGGGAGACTTAACACCATGTGTCACATATAGTTCACTCTGTTTTTGCTAACTGACTTTATCCAAAGGAAAACTAAATTTTTCAGATCTTTATGACAAGAAGTAGTTTTGAATTTTGGTCAAAGCCTTTGCTGAAACAAGGCTCCTATCCTCCAACAGAAACTGGGAGAAAGGAGTGTCATTTTCCTTGATAATTATATTTCAAAGAGTTGGCTCCCAGTACTTGAGAAAGACAAGCCTGGGTTGTGAAGTTGACATTTATTCAGTTTTTAAAAGGTTTACATACATTAAAAAAAAATAGAGAGAGAACTTAAATTACAAGTTTCCTAAAGTAAATGCTTTAAGAAGAGGAAAGAGGGAAAATCTTTTCCCTTATTTTCAACAGAGATAATTAAGCCTTTTTTTAAATGTATTTGCCCATACAAATTACAATTGCAAATATAATGCTTTTGCAATAACATAAGAACAGGATATTATAAAGACATTAAAACAACAAAGAAACCTTCCTCTCCTCACTCTAATTGTATGTACCTTCCCACACCATTTTTTGAATTAAAAAGAAAACATTTAAAATAATGATATGCAAATACACAATATATTATGAGGCAACTTGCTTTTTTATCATTTCGCAGAATGCCATGTGTATTAATACTGTTGATTAATAGATAAATAAAATAATAATATTTAATATTTATTGCTTATGTATACCCTAAGTAATCTTATAAATGCTTTATATGTTTTAATTAATTTAATCTTTTTAACAGCTCTTATAAGGTTAGTTACTAGTATCTTTTACATTTTGCGGGGCAACTTAACAGTAGTTAAGCGGTTTTGTCAAATTGAGGATCAAGATTAAAATCTATTTTTTAAAGCTCACCATATTCATATGTTTATTACATTAGCTCATTCATTTTTAATAAGCACACACAATATCATAGTGTGGTTGTAATTTATTTCTCAGTTCCCTTTTGATATGCGTTTGGGTTATTTTCATTTATTTGAGAAGAAAAAAAATTCTAGAATAAGTAAATTGGACACATACTCTTTGCATATACTAGAGCCTTGGACTGCAGCGTAGGTTTCCCAACGGAATTACGGGGTCAAAGATATGACTAGCTTATCTCTTACCATCTACTACCAGATAAGGTTCCAGAAAAGGTTTACATCCCTACTCTTTCTCAGTACTCCACTATCACTCTGTTTTTCATATTTAACACAGAACCCACAGAGTAAGTCATCGTTATCTGCACTTGTGGTGAGCCAGAGTGTTTGTGAATATTCTGATAGAGCAGCATGTTTCAGATGTGGGCAGTTTTGCCTCCTAATACCTTTGACAATGTCTGAAGCCAATTTTGATGATCACAACCTGTGTGGGGAATGCTATTGGCATTTAGTTACTGGAAGTTAGGGATGCTGCTAAGCATACAATGCATGGGAGAGCCTCTTGAAACAAAAAGAATTATCTAGTCCAAAATATCAATAGTGACAAGGTTGAAAAACTGGCATTGATCATTTGAATTTTCTCATCCGTGAATTTCTAGTTTGTGATTATTTCCCCAAATTGTTTTTTTCATATCAACTGTCAGAATTTGTAAATTAGAGCTATTAAAATTTCATCTTCTGATGCAAACGTTTTTCCAGATCACTGGTGTCTTCTTGTTGTGGCTTTTTTCACTTTGTTTTTTTTTGGGGGGGTGTGGAGAGCAGCATTTTAAAATATCTTCCCATTTCTTCCTAGATTCTGTATTTCTTGGCTCACAAGAAAATCCTCCCAACTAAAATGTATACATAAAACTTTACCTAGATTTGTTTATTTTAAAATTTATTTAGATCCTTATTCTTTGTTTTTATTTTTAAAAATTGTACTGAACAACGTCATCATTAAGAGCACTTATTGCTGGCTTCTTAAACTGCCCTTTCTACTTCAGCTATAACCTTAGACCAGCCATTTATCTGTAATTTGTGGAACTAAATTCGCAATGTTTTTATCAGCAAAGTTAAAGAGGATAATAATTCATTATTAAATGAATTAAATGCATTAATATACATATATCTAACAGTTGATGGATTTTAGAAAGGTATCCCTGAAACTGACCATCTTTTTCATTATTTTTCCTCATCAGCTCTATCTGTAGTCTATAGCAAGGTAAAGGCACTTGATAAGTATTGGCTGAGTTGAATGTGTTGAGAACATTTTTTCCTAGGCTGTACTCTTGATAAATATATGATTGATATAGAGATTCTATACTCAGGTAGCTTTTATTCAAGGAAAATAGAAATATGCCACCCAGTCTTAATGCAATTTTCATGACCTTTTAATTGTCCCCCCTAAAGACAGCATTAACATTCTTTATTTTCATTCTGTTTATTCAATTTGCAGACAATGTGCAACAGATTTCTGCAGTTCCTGTGTATGTGCTTGTTCTTAATGTTAATGATCATGCTCCCGAGTTCTCTGAATACTATGACACATATGTTTGTGAAAATGCAGGCTCTGGTCAGGTAAGGACCTGCAATAAATTGCTAATGTCTAAACATTGCCATATATTATATATAATAACTTTTGCTACCATTCCTCTCATTTTGAAATGATAAAAATAAGCTTCTCTTAACTGTATCAATTACTGCTTTTATGTTGTGAGTTCTGTATAATTTAAATTTCTTTTTTAAAAAATAAAATGTAAGCTTCAAGCTTTCCACTTTCAAATTCCTCAAATGTTTGAAACATCTGCTAACACTGGGTATTCTTAGTAAATCTTTTATACTTTCCCAGTACAATAAAGAAAAGTTCTTTTTTCGGTAATTCAATAGAATAAGTAAACACATTTCAATTAATTTTTATTTTTCATTCATCATGGCACAGAGAAACATAATATATAAACATAAACATGAAGAGAATAAGCTGCAATTTTTTCTATAGCTTATAACTACTGTATCAGACATATCAACATAAAAGAAACCTAATGTCAATTGAATTACTAGATATGTAAAGAATAGAGAGCAGACTTATTTTGAAACACATCACCATTACTTCACAATTAATTTTTCCCTTTCTTCCTTCATTCCTTCCCTCCCTCCTTTTCTTTCCTTCCTTCTTTCTTTTTCTCTCTTTCTTTCTTTCTTCCTTCCTTCCTTCCTCCCTTCCTTCCTTCCTTCCTTTCTTTCTTTCTTTCTTTTTTCTTTCTTTCTTTCTTTCTTTCTTTCTTTCTTTCTTTCTTTCTTTCTTTCTTTCTTTCTTTCTTTCTTTCTTTCTTTCTTTCT